ATATGACGTTATATTTGCTTCGTAGAGCCAAAGCTTCTCATATTCCCGCCTGGATAGTATTGGTTCACCCGCCACTTCTTCCGTATCCACTGTGGTTCTTGAATCTTGGGCTGCCGGCCCTCTTGGACCTGGCACCTCTTGCGTGGATTTCGAGATCTTTAAAGAGCGGCTTGAACCGGATGGTCCATGGTGCGACGGTAAAAGGATGGCCACCGAACACGCTTGGTTTGGGCTCTTCGACCGGTTGGGTCGCATCCGACGGGAGTGACGACTCGCTGCCGTACGGCGTGTGGGCTTACGCAGTGCCAGGTCTTTGGAGTGTAGGTCGGGGGAGCAGGCCGAAGCTGTTTGTCCTTTGCCAGTAGTTGCGACATCGACGGGATTCACCGCTGAGCCCGGGCTGCGTGTACATGTTGTGTTAGACTCCGACTTCTTGTGTTTTTGTCACTTTGTTTGTCGCCCCGAGTCCGCATCTCCGCATCACAACAACGACGGCGAAGACTACTACAAACAATACGTCTTCCTAGAAAAGTCGGATCGTTGCTGTAAGAACGGTCTAGGACGGCATTAGGAAGGACAGCGGCATGTAAGAAGGCAAGGTAGAAGCACATTCATACGAGAGGCTGTGTGCCCAGTAAGGCCTTCCAAACCCTTAAATCTAGAATCTAGAAGGGTTGTTGATTCACCAAAAACCCTTCCTAGATCACCAACAACAACAACCCCGTGGTGAAAGACTGTGGCTTTGCAGACGAGTGCCGAGGAAGGCGGCATCCTTTGAAGAGTCGGGGGACCCGACTGAACGAGCGAAGAGGGTACGGGAAAAGTTGTGGTCTTCATGAGATATGTGTAACAGTATGGTTTTACAGAAAGGAATGGGGCAATGTGGGAAGCATCTGGTTTTCAGCTGTTCTCATGAGGTATTGCAAGGTGGCTTTATGAGGCTTTTCGGGAGCGCCTCGGCCCATGTGGGTTGAGCTGGTTTCGCTTTTTCGTTCTGCTGGGCTTCAAGATGTTTCAATACATCCATGTGCTCCCCACGGTTTGTGCGTCGCATGGATTTCCTGTCTATACATCACATGACGGAGCTGCTCGGAGCAAGGATGTTGGGGTTGCAACGCGATGTGTCAAGACCGAGGCAGCGACGAGCTCGAATCAGACACATGCAGAGGCAGTCCTGGGTCTGCTTTCTCGAATGCCTCAGCCGTAGCTGATGCCGAATGATGTTCGATGTTCAAGCGACCGGGACGAGTCGTGAAGCAGCAAGGGGTGACCTGCGCAGAGCCCTCCGGGTGCCGTAGAAAGCAGCAGAAAGCTGCGAGGCTCTACGGCTTGGGCCAGGCCCAGGCGGCTGAGACGGAGCTTGGGGCCCAGTGTGTTAGATGCTTGGGGTAGTACCTCTTCATCAGCAACTCTCCGTACAACGGGACGGGAGGGCGGGAGGGAGGAGCTTGGTCACGGGTTTCCTGGGCTCTCCTGGTGGTCGTGGTCGTCTTAACACTGTCTGCGGGGACATACGCAGGCAGAATGGAAGGGTTTTAAGAGCTGTAGATGTTTTGGGAGAAGGTTGCAGAGGTGTGTCTTGCGAGCTTCCGGGTTGGTTTCGGGGTTTGAAGGGTCAAGGTTTGAGGTCTTTGCATGGCACAGCCGGCAATTCAACTTTTCCGAACTGAAGGCCCAGCCGTTATCTCAGCACTCAAATTGAGATACATGAGACTAGAAAGCCTCGGGGAACTGCTCCTTGTTGGACACTTGCAGGTTCGTGCTTTGCCGAGTTGCTGGCTGTCCGTGCTTGAAGTGTATATATGTTCAATATCAGAGCGCAGACATAATGTCAGGCACAGCAAGGTCACAAAGCAGTGACGCGCGCAACAGCTCGGGTGCTTCGCTGTGTGTGGGGAGTAGTTTGCTGGACTCGGAAAGGCTGCAGGCTTGCCGCTTCAATCGATCTGACCGTGGGGCCATGCCCTCCTTTTACACCCAGGCCAACGATCGTGGAGCCTCAGAGCAGCCAGCGAGGACTGAAGTTGGATTTGTAGTGTTGGAAACGGTTTGGGAACCCTTGCATCTCTGGGAGCGTGGGCCTGTCCTCGTGCGTGTGCAAGAAGCTTAGGTCTAGGCTGACGAAGGCTCGCGAGTACCTCAAGTCCTTGCTGGCATAGATTGTGGGATAGAATTGACTGCGCGCTCACTCTCTGGAAAGGCGGAGAGCCCACAGCTGTTGAGGAGGCGGCCTCTTGATTGTTTTTTTCCAACTGCCGGTTTTATTGGTGCTGACAGCCTGAAAAAGTTCACAAAGCTGCACATGGGTAGTTGGAAGGCTCCTACCAGCGCTTGATAATAGCCGAACCGAAGAACAGACAGATCTTCACGATGATCTGTGTGCCAAAGGATGGCAAGACTTCGTGGGATTTGTTTCAGGTTCGGGCTCGTGAAGAAGCGTGCAGTTAGTTGGGAAATCAGAGCTGCGGATGCCGAGTGCAGAATTTTCAAGGTGCATGACAGTTGCTCACCTGTGATACTGCGTCTGAGAAGTGCGAGCCAAGTGTCGGATTGTCTCCATGAACGCCATCGTCGCGATTTGGTGGTTGAGGTTGGAGTTGTAATTTCCTGTTGTAGTTGGTGTTCCCATAGTAGTGCTCTGCCGCAGACAGTATCATAGTGCCCGTCCCATCATATTCCGTGGTAGCACAGGCAAGCCCTGTCCAGAGGCAGCTGCGGCCCCGATTTCATCGCTGCCTTATTCTTTCAGGGCTGGATTTCATCGTCGGCCTTGGGGTCGGAGAGCATGGTCAAAGTTGTTATGCTTTTTGCAGGCTTTCACGTTTGCTGAGCTCTCTCAGTCTCTTCGACTCACAGCACGGCGGTAGAGTCGGTCATCATCTTAAACATGTCAGGGGAGAACCTGATGAGTAATCTTTTTCTGGGTCCCATTGTTTTCCTTCTCAGGTTCCCTCATAAGTGCAGAGCGCCGGGTTGCACGAGGTGCTGAGAAGAGTCAGCTGAACCCATCCGGTCCCCGAACTTCGGCTCAAGATTTCCTCGCGGGGCTGCTTTGCTCCGGGCATCTTGGCGCAACGAAGTGCCTGCACTTCAAGACCCCAAGCCGATCTCACCTTGCTGCGAGGAGCTGCATGGGCAGCTGCAAATCCGCCCCTCTTCCTGCTGCGGTCGGCACATCGGAGGACGGGCTCCTCCGCCCCAAACCCTCAACGTCGGATAACAAATGTGGACCGAAGTTTTGTAGTTTCTGGCGCTCAGGAAGGAATGAGCATTTAAAATCAGCTTCCCCAGACCTCTGGAGCTCATGCCCCGGACCCAGGCACAAAGACCGCTCTGTTGCAGATGACATGAAGTCGCAACGAAAACCAAGGGACTCTTCTCTAGTGGCCAAAGTAACATCTGCCAAGCAGAGTCTTCAGATAACTGCCGTGCGGGAGCCAACACATAGGTGCCGAATTCGATGGAAGATGATCATGCTTTTCTTACAGGGATCCAGGGCATGGATCGCCGATGTTCTGCAGGAGCCCTTGGCGAAGATGTCCCAGAAGGCCGAAATCGAACAGATCGTGGGCTCTCACAAGGCAAGGTTTGCCATGCCTTGGCTGCGGGAGATCTCGGGGCTCCTTAGAGTAGGGGCTCAATACGGATCCTGTTTTGGGGGGTTGATGTTCGGGTCCCATGCTGTGCGGAGCGCGGATCGTGGCGTCTGCCCTCAGATCGCAACTTGCTGACGTCAAAGATCCGACATGCAAAGCGCATGTCTTGATTCATGCCAGGTGGTTGTGATAGCCAAGTCGTGTCCTCAAATGCGGTGCGCGCGAGTCGCGAGTAGCTGCTGAGCTTGCTTGTGCCGGCCTCCAGCCCTCTCTGCAGGTGTTTGGGCTACAGATTCTGATGAAAAACGTTGTTGAACTCTCTTACGGCGGTGTAGGTTTGCAGCGTTTGATCCGCAAGCTGCAAGCTTTTGCTGCCTCAGGTCATGGTGCCCATTCTGCACCAAGGCTGCCCGGTCTAGTGCGTGCTAGGACCAGCAACAAAGACCTCTGGGGGAATCTAGCGAGGTGCTCCACCAGAATTTCGTCTCTACTGTAGGTCTTCGGGTCAGAAAGGCTGCAAAGTAGGACTGGGACTAGGCAGGCCCTGCTGCAGCTCTCCGCTTCTCGCATTGCCTCGGTACGCTGACACTGGAAAATGCATCCATGCGAAAAGGGGACGAACATCGAAAAGGGAGCCTCGTGGGCCCTGGGTGGACGTTGGGTAGAAACAGTATGACATGGAGTGGCCAGGCCTTTGTTGCCACACCTGGACATCATGCCTATAACTTGAAAAGTAATAGCAAGGGTCCGCAACAGCCCAAAATCAAGCTCCTGAAACACCCCTAACCTGAGATTCGCAAGTTGGGCTCCTCATCTCTCCCACAATTTGTGGGTCTCACCTCCTACGACAAGGCACCAACAACCGACATCCCCCTGCAAAAGCAGGTGAATGTTGCCTTCCAGTCCTTGGGCGTCAGTGACCTGAAGGCCGCTACCGGGCCGCTCCCGAACACTCAAGACTCAAGAACCCTCTGTGGGGCAGTTCTTGTGGTGCTCCTCCCATACTGGTAGCATGGAGTGCCGCGGGGTCGTTGGAGGGGGAAAAGGCTTGAGTTCAAGAGATCAAGGGTTCCAATCACCACAGAACACATAAGTCATAAGTGATTGAAGCTCCACCCGGATGCTACGGCTGGGTGCTGTAGGCTTCTCTGGTCGTCGAGCCTTGCGAGCCCATCTCATCTAGAGAAACTGTAGTAGTAGTGATTAGTTAGTATATAGCGGTTTCCGTCGTTGTTGTCATTATGTTCTCCCACGAGTGCAGACGTAACGTGGTTGCCCTTGGGGGGAGAAATGTAACATCGTTGCATAAGAAACGCGACGTAACACTCTGCGCTTGAGGGAGAAAGAGAACTTCAATCCTCGGCCTGGCACGGAACTTCACGAAACCCCAACTTGCATCCTTCCATGCAGGTCGTGGAGGCCGATCACCGCCCGGATGAACTCGACTTCATGGAGGTGCCGCAGGGTTTGTCAGGCGGACTTGAGCTTGGTGCTTGAGTTTTGCCATGGGGGTACAGCTCTGGAAGGGAACGAAGCCTTGCCCGCTTGAAGAAGCTCACGCATCATTTCGATTGTTCCCCGTTGGCTTCTTTGTGAATCCTGGCACCATGCAGAGGATGCTAGCACGCCGTGCAGGGTTTGGATTAGTGGTAGCCGTTGCGCACAGCTTGGCCAAACCCAAGGCACCCGAGCCCCTGACACGTTTTGAGCAATGCTGCCAACGCCACCCAAGATGGGATCCAAGACGAAGCATCCATAGAACCACCGGTTATCGCCCAGCCACCTCTATGCATGCTCAATACTTCAAACATTAAGGCGGTTTCCGCATGATCCCAAGAGTGGAACTGCAGGCCGTCAAGGAGATCACAGAGAAGAAGGCTTCAGAAACCGGGCATGCTGGCGTCTGTCTTCTTGGTCTGTAACTGGGGTCTTTCTATGTTATAGGAATTATAGGAACAAGAGTGCCCGGTGAATCTTTCGTCATCGGCTCCCTCCTAGGCAGCTGTTGTTGCACGGAAGACCTTTGCAACCCCTTGCCTCCAGCCTCACTTCCAGCCTGGCCCAGTCCGTGCCGCAAGTTTTCGTGGGTGGCAAGTTCATCCCAGGCGCGGCTTTTGCATCCTTGTGCTGCTTGTTACTGTTCAAGTCCTGCGGCTGCTGTTCAATTGGCAGCGGCTTCGCGCTGCGGATTGCGGAGGGGGGTTAGGAACATGAGCATGGCAGGGGCAGCAACGGCTTTCAAGCAGGGAGAGAGAGTGTAGGAGACGGTTTATTGACTCTTCAGGCCTCAACTTTCAGGTGGCGGGACGTTTAGGCCTGAACTTAGGTGGCAGGACGTTAATGTAATATTCAGGTACAGGTCGGGTGATCCGAGTTCAGGCCGGCCTTTGAGGTTGGAGGGTCAGTATTCCTTGGCTCGTTTCTTTTCGGATGTAGTTTCGTGTCGGGCGCAGTGGACGACTAGGCAGACTCTGCCGCCGCGGTGGTGGGGCCGGTGGTGCTCTTGCTGCTTCTGCAGTCGTCCCAACTCTCGGCGGTCGTTTGCTCTGCTTCCTGGTGTCCCGCTCGCATTTTGGTTTGAGTTTGTCGGCGGAACAGAACGTATCTCTCAAAGAACCGTCGATGCAGTCATGTCCAGAAGGCTCACCTGTCAGGGGCTTTGTCGGAGCGCTTGGCTGGATTGTTGGGGTGGGACCCTTGGCGAGGTGGCTGCGACAACATCATGGACTTGCGAGAGAAAGGCGAGCTCAAGCCCTTGCTGCAGGAGGCAGCCGTTACCACCGTACTGCATCGACTTGGTCGAAGTGGCGCGAGACGCCCTGCATTATCTTGCCAGTTAAGTCAAGGTGTGGGAATCCCGTAAGGGCCTACAGCCTTCCCCGCAGCCGGAAGGATGCACTCGCCCAAGTTGCACCAGCAACCCCAAAGACCGTGCCTTGCTTGGGCTCAACGGCATTTACCAGTAGCTGCGAGGAGAGATCTTTCGCCCAAGACCGGAGTTCTCGGGGGCAGTGGTGGTTTCTTCAAGTACGTGGACTCGATGAAGATTCTTATGATTTGGTGTCCTAATTAAACTTCCATGTGGCTCGTAGCCCACGAGACTCACATGCTTCAGCATATCAGAATCATTAGGTCATTAGGGTATTGCAGGGACCTCCATCCTCGGAGCTTAAAATGGCGAGCGGCGAGCGCATCAGTTGCGAGTACTTTCGCGGGAGTGGCCAGCATCAGGCCTTCGTCTTCTACCGTTCTGAATCGAATGGTTCAAAAATTGAAGTCCAGCCAGCAGCTGCCGGTGGGCTGTGTTATTATCCCGAGGCGAATTGTGAACTAAGCGATTTCAGCTGCTGCACAGTTACCAGCACCGTGAGCAAGGAAGCTGACCGGTGCCAGCTCCACAACACGATCTATTGCCTTGCGGCTATCTTTTTGGCTTTCCAGCTTCCTGGAATGTGCCGGCGCCTCGGCTTCTTCACGAGCAGCACGGCTTCGGAGGCGTGTAGCAGCGCCCAAATTCCACAGTCAGCTTTGACCCATGAGCCCCGCAGCCCGAGCACGGAAGCCTCTGAACCCATAAACTGATTGTTAATTACATCAGACCCTCAGAAAATGATCAAAAAGAGGAGGAAGCGGCAGAAGAGGCCTCCGAAAGCCAGGACCAGGAAGACTCCGAAGAGGACGAGCCAGAGTCCACTGACTCAAGAGTTTGTGCTGCTTGGATGCATCTTTTCTTTAATGTGAAGCCAGGCCTTGCTGGAGTAGTTGAGAATTATCCAGACTGAAACGAGCACTTTCCGTCGTCAAAAATCGTCTCCACCTCGCTTCCTCTTCCGCAGGTTAGGCGCGTACTGCGCATCCTCGCCTGCCTCGCCATAATGGCTTTTATTGCTGCGGAGGTGTACTGCGCCATTCTGATTGCAAACGCTACCCAGCGTGCTCTCACAGTGCCGGAAAGAAATTCCATGCTTGCCGCAGACGCTTTCTTGGTGCCCTTGGTTGAGATTTTCCAGTTCCTGGAAGATGTCGTCGCGGTGAAGATTAGTGCGGCCATGGTTACAGGTGAAACCCATCTAGTCCGGCACATCCTGATAATGGGCGTAGTGGGTGGGATACTTTGTGGAACTGTCGCCGCCTCAATAGCCACGGCAATATGCAGCTGGCCAGCAGCCATTCAGTGGATCTTGGCGCCATATTCCATGCACGACTCCTATCTGCAGTGCCCCTTGGTTCCACAGGGGCCAGCTGCGGCGGATTCGGCACGGATGTATTGGCTCTTGCAGGCGCGAAGTTTGTCGGCATCGGGACATCCAGTGGCAGTGCTTAAAACGGGAGACCACTCCCTGTCGGGAACACTTGTAGAAGAGCTTGATGAACATTTAAGTTATGTCAGTACCACTCGTTGCCACACATCCCTTTGATCGTAACTCAAATTTGTATCAGCGAACGCAGGCAAGTATTTCGTTTTAGTATTTGTAGTAATTCTACTTGTAGTAGTAGTAGTAGTAGCCCCACTGGACAGGTCTGGAGTTGGCCCTTGGGTTTCGCCTGCCGCGCCATCAAAGGATTCCTTTTCGGAAGTGGGGACATTGTGTTGGGCATGACCGCTTCTGGGCTCACGCCCTGCTTGGGGCTTTCGGGTTTTGTTCAGTGCTTTGTTCAGGAAGCAGTGATTCGACTTCTGTGGTGTTTGAGTTTGTGTTTGGTTGGGATCTTCCAGCTTGCCGTTCAACCGGTGGTGCTGTTGCGCAGGGCTGCGCCATCTAGCTTAGACTATGAGCTGGCTCTTGGGAGTGCAAAAATAGAAAAGAACCACCGGACCCGTATATCTACAGTCCCGAAACAGCGAGAACCTTTCTAAACAGGGGGGGATAATTTCTAGTCGCCCAAAGGATTGATGAAGCTTCCAGTTCTCCAGGTTTTGGGTTTGGCCAATGGCATGGTGTCGATCGGCGGGGTCTATCTGTGCTTGGGTTGCTATTCGAAGATCTTTTTGAGCTCTTGGCTCTTGGCGCCTTAGACGGTGTAAACCTGTCTGCAGAATTTCAAGTGCGAATGCTTGAAGGTTTTTTCTCCCGCAGCCCTCGCTGGACTCGCTGGGCTGGATCTCTTTTGCCTGCTCTGGCGCTTCGTTTCTGATTCTTCTGGTTGCCTTCTGGAACCTTAGACATCTTTTGACTCTCATTCACGGGTCTCGAGGGGCTTAAGGCGAATTAGGTTTACGGTTTAGGTCTGCCTCCAGATGTAAAAAAGTCCAGCAGACCTGAACCGGAGGAAGCCAGTTAAGCCGAGGCTATGTTTGCAGCGCGACGGGACCTCCGCCAGCGCTACGGCCTACGCATCACCCGGCCGTCGCTGGCTTCATGTTGGATAACAAATATAGCAGCTAAAGTCGGAGCAAGAAACTTCCCAGACTGAGCTCAGCTTGTCAAGAGGGCTGCGAGGGTTGAATTTCTGGATTACCTGCAAGCTTTTTCTCCACCACTCCCTTTCAACTTTCAGTCTAGGGCTCTGAAAGGAGCAGTACAACTTGTAGCCCGGTAGACATGGCGAGCCATGACGACAACGACAGTGAGCAGAGCATGTCCACGGCGGCGGCGACACTACGTCACATAGAGTATGTGGTTATGACATTGGATCACATGAGCGAGCAGATATCAGACATTCGTGGTATTAAGGCTTCCCTGGCAAGGGTTGAAAAGAGCCTCCGGACCATACCATCCGACGATCAGGGAAGCAAGGCCCTGGATACAGGGCGGCTTCGCAAATTGTCGGATGGCCACGGAAGCAGGTCCCTGGAAGCAGGGCGGCTTCGCAAACCTTCTGATGGCCACGGAAGCAGGTCCCTGGGACTGCAGAGCAGAAACGGTGAAGTGATGCAAACTCCGAAGCTGAGCTCGGAAATTCTTTCGTCCATCTATGGACTTGAAGCTGCTAGGGCCGAGGAGTTACGCAGCAGACGAAGAGGCGGCAGGGGAAGTCCAAGAAAGCCTGCGGGTGAGGCCGACATGCTCGGCCTGTTCCCGCGCAGCTCACATGACTCTCCGCCTCCTCAGTCCAAAAGCTCGCGGAAGCTGTCCAGATCTGCTTCTTTGTCAGCCATTGCACCGGAACAGGCCGCGGCGGACATTACCCCCGAAGCTCCTCCGAGCGTACAACCACGGGCTCCTACATCGCCACCTGCTGTTTGTCGGAGGAAGTCCTTGGACGATCTTCGCCAGTTTCACGATGCGGTCATTGCCTCCCCCGCCTTCCCAACTCCCAGCTCACGCCGCAATTCCCTGGAGACAGCAACAGCACTGCCCTGCCTAGGATGGTTCCTGCTGTCCATGGTCGGCATACTCGACTTCTTCGACGGCAAGAAGTGGCGACACCTTGCAAGGTGCAGCCTGGTGATACAGATTCTGGGTGTTATCAGTCTGGTAGCAGCCTTGAGCACATGGACTGGTGATTTCGAGGACCTCGAGCCTCTGATCACAACGGCGATTTACTGCTTTGGTGTAGCTGCGGGGGTTTTCAGCCTCCGGAGGAACGAGATCACCTGCCTCCTGGGTCCATCCGAGTACATGATGGATGACTATGCACTCGAGTCGGACTTCTTGGACGACTGGAGAAAGCTTTCCAAGGCACGCCTTTTCCAGATCAGCGGCTTCTTCCTCCTCATGGTCACTTCGCGGGTGGGAGCACTGTTTCTGACAGACAAGGCAATTTTCGGGAGGTATAAGGAGGTCTTTGGCTTCGATCTGGTCGCGGTGCTGGGCTTCGCTGCAATGGCAGTATGCTACTGCACGGCGTGCTACGGCGCGCTGCATGTAACTGCAGGATTGGAGCTTGCAGTGGACAGCTTCGCACTACGCTTTTATAGCACAGGCGACATGGAGGCTGCAGTGATGAGTTGGAACGTTGTGCAAGCCACATTGCGACAGACGTCGTGCAAACTCAGCAACTTCCTGGTGCTCCTTGCTTCCTCCTGCATGGGGACGTTGATCTTATTTGCATACCAGGTCCTGTCCCTGACCCTATCTGGCGAAGGAGCGTCCCTCCTCAACATCGTCAAGTGGCTAGGATGGTTGTACTCTCCCCTGGTTCTGCTTCTGTACGTCCTGTCGACAGCAGCAGCTGTCACGGAGAAGGTCGATCGCTTGGCACCTCTTGTAAATTCCTGGTCGTTCGATGGTCGGGAGATGTTGGACGACTCGCGGCAGTATGTGGTCTCATACATCCTGCATAGCCATGCAGGTTTCTATGCTCGAGGTATTCGCATTACATCTTCGAGCGTGCAACAACTCGTCTATTACTTCGCAGCTGGGTCGTTCGGCCTCCTCACGAACCTGTGGCAGAGGTAACAGTCCAAACCCAATCCGCAGAGGTGCGGCGTGACTTTTCCCTTAGACTACAGGTCGGCTTGGGCTTGGACTCTTGGACCATGGAAAAGGTGCACAGATATTGACATGGAGTCAGCGACAGGGAATTAGCTCTTTTGCAGGCTTCCAGTCAGCCGACGTCGGTGCATCTCCTTGGGAAAAGGCGTCTAACCATGTGCACCGCTGGCAATCCGGGCTGCTTCGCTTCGATGCTTCTTTGTATGACTTTTACCGGCAGCCGTTGCGTAGCTGCTCGGTCAGCTTGTCTCACCTGAAGAGTTTTTGAAGCTCCGACTGCGAAGCACGAGGAGCCGTGCAGGTGAGCTCATGAGCACGGCAGGTTCTAGGACCCCCATGATTGATATGATTGAAATCAGCATACTCATGTGGCTTGCGTGCTTCTACATCATGTCTGTGAGCATGTCCAAGGTAAGACAGGACATATCGCATCCTCTGCTTCCGAGTGCCGAAAAGCCCCGACTCACCCAAAACACTATGTAAACAACAACATGACGGACGCCTGTGTCCCAGAGATCACGCGGACATACCATAAGGATTAATAGGGTCCTCGGAAGCTTCAAATCAAATTCAACCTGCGATGCCAGACCGTTTCCGGCGGGAGGCAAAAGAAGCACCTTGTGAAACTTGTATTGTTTTCTGAAGTGCGACTTGGTCAGCTGGGTATATAGGCAGGTAGAAACAAGCAGAACATCCCATGAACCTTAGAGTCCCGCGGCAGGGTTGTTAGGGGGTTAATGGGCAACAAGGCAGGTCCTTTGCGTGGTGTACGGGTGCCCCACGGGCCCGGGCCGGGTATTTGCAGGTCAGACACCGAGACTGCAGCGAGCAGACCGGCAGAGTTCTCGGCGCGCTCCCTGTGGAAAGACACCTCACGCGAAGGCTTCATGGCCATGATCCTGGATGTCTCAGCCCAGATGCCTGCAACCGTGGGGATCCGAGGTGATCGTCAGCATTCTTTGTATCTTCTTTTGGCCAAGTAGTCTCCGAGTGGGTCGGAATGTTTGCAGATTGGACCCGCCCAGGATCTACACAGCCGGGACGAGATTGGGCTTGGGTGCCATGTACCAAATCAGTTCATTGCAGGCTGCCTTCCCTCAGTATGGCTTGGCTTGGGTCATCGGATTGACATACATCCTGCGACTCAAGGGTACGCAGCTCGTCTCCGAAGGGGAGTATGAGCAGTTTCGCGGCCTCTTTCGACTGGCGACCCTCTACTCGTTGCTGCTCATCGTCGCCGTCGCGGCATCGGTCATCCCCTACAGTGACGCACTGTCGTTTCTCCAAGCAGAGCAAGCCTGCGAATACGCCTCGGATCTTTCTTGCCTTCCTCACTACACAAGCATATTTGGCGGCGGCCACCTGAAAGGCGACACCCTCCAGCAAGCCTTCCGGTATTTTTTCACGCCTGTCTTGATTGCCCGGTGCTTTTACCAGGCTGGGAATTATCGAAGCGCCGTAGTCTTGTAGGCACGCAGCATCATGCGGCCTGCAGCTCCAGCTTTCGGATCGAAACAAAATTGAATCAAATTCACGCAACTCTTCAACCCTTTTTTTTCAGGTTTTCAAAGCCGGGATGTACGTGTGCTTGGACTGGATCTTCATGGCCAAAGTGGGGCTGATCTCCTTGTCATGTATCTTCGTGCCAGCGATCCTGGTTGCTGTTTGGGGTCTAGGCCCTGCCTGACTGAGCATGTGGGCGATATTGAATGAAGACAACTGGTATTGAGTTTTTGTCAGTACTGTAACAATTCCGGGACTAGGTTGCATATTAAAGAGTGATGCTGTGTCACGTCTGAAGATACGTTGAACCCGGCGGGCTCTGTGAGAGGTACACCCTCAGCGATCTTCGTCGCGATGTACTTGCCCTGGCTTTTCATGACCGGCGCCTTCATGTTGCGGACGCGGCATAACATCAAGAAGATGCTGGCAGGGAAACCGGGCCCATGGCTGAAAAGACCAGCCGAGTACAAAGACTCAGACAGCTCGGCCAGTGAGTAGAAAAGCACGAGAAGAGCGTCCAGAGCGTCGGGGGCGAGCTAGCTGCGACGAGTTCCAGGTTTTCTGTTTCAGATTCCTCAGCCGACCGACTTCCCCTACGTGAGATGCTTCCGTGTGCCACAGATTTTGCACCCCCCTGTGGCCATCTGTTTATGGGTTACATCCCACCTTTATTGTGACCGTGGGGAGGGGTCCAGGCACAGGCATAGGCGTGCCCCTCGCATGTCAGTGCCGTAGATACGAGAAATATTCCGCCACGAGTGTCAGATGGTGTCAGAAAAGTTACCATAGGGTCGGGTACAGACTGCTACTGCTGAGAGCTCTTTACACCATGATTGCAGCGAAACTCCCAAATCCCAAAACCCCGCTTTAACATGACTTCTCCCAGGTTTTTGAAACCTCCAGCAGGGCCCGGTACCACGAGAGGATAAGCAAAGCTTCTGCTGGGTGTAGCAAGGAGAAAAGTTGTGGGAGCGAGGTCGTTTTGTTGGCCAGGTTTTCCGGTAGTGTCAACTTAGAGTGACACCGCTCCATTCGCTTGCTCGAAACCCTATGTTGGTCTTACAACGAGACACGGCAGAGATTTCGGGGAGAGGCAAGCGATGCTTCCGAAGTGCACAGGTGGTAGTTGTGTTGAGGCGTGAGAGCGGTCCGAGATTCCTACGTCTGTGAAGCCTGCCTGTGCGGCTACCGGTTTACTGCAAGTGCCATGCTAGGACCTAGGAAAAGAATGGGAATCCAGATGCAGAGTGCTGCACGATCTCGCCCGTCATGGTGGTCAGACACCCCCACCAGAATACCCCAACCCCTCCCACCCTTAAGGGGGAGGGGCATTGCTCTTGCTTTTTGCTGTGGAGTGGCGCTCCAGGGACTGGAGGCCAAAGCGGATAGTGTAAGCATCGGACTCGGTTAGGCCCTGCACCTTGCGTCCCTTCCTGTTACAAGCCAAAGCATCTCAAAACTCCCGCCCTGTGGCTTCTTCCGGCCCTGCCTTGGCTTTGGCGCAGGCAAACGCGATCGACGCGGAGGCATCGGCATTTCAACTTACCCAAAGTACCATACTGATAAGTCCAAGGGAAGATGCCCGAGATCCTAACCGTGAAGCTTCATAGATCCGCGCGGAGCAGTCGGAGGGTTTTCGGAATGCTTTTGTGGCGAAACACTGAAGGGCTACACTGTACCTTCTCCACCACATGACATGTACGCTAGAAGACCATGGCAAGAATGAGCCAGAATGAAGGGAAGTGTCAGTGCGAGCCCCCCAAAAAAAGCAGGCGGAGACGCCTGCCCCACCGGGTGCCTACGACTTCGACCTTTTCGTCCTGGGGGGCGGCAGTGGCGGCTGCGCGGCTGCTTTGGAAGCAGCCAGGCCGGGATCGTGACACTACAGACAACACTGATCCAGAGGCTATAGAGGGATGTATGTGGGCTTGTCATGACTATTGTTCATTCTCATGTCTGTTGCAGGGGACTCTGGGATTCCTGTCCCTCGATAAGAAGACGCGTGCGCTCATAAATTGGGGTTCTGACATCGGAGCTTTCGCAGCGTTGGTCCGCCCAGCCCGTAGCCTGCAGCTAGTATCACCTCCACATACACTTGCTGCCACACCTCCCTCCAGATATTCTGTTCCAACAGTGTATACTGTTGCTGTGACGCGCAGCACCTTGGTGTCCTGTGCTGGAGTTGGTTGGCACGCAAGCGCGGCCCCGCCCCAGCAATAGGGCTGATTCTTGTTTGTCCGGAAAGCACGGCTCAAGGGTGATCGTGTAGTTGGGGGAGGTCACGTGTGACACCCTAGAGCCCTCTGCCTCGAGCTGTTTCTGTCTTGCGACGTGCTCAGCCCGGGAGGGACAAGACGAAGAAGATTGCCGTGGCAGACTTCGTAAAGCCATCACCGCAGGCTTTGATCCCAGCCATGTCTGTTTATGCATGCAGGTTCGGCATAGGGCTTGTCCAAAACTGCACGGGATCTGATTCTGCCAAGCGAACTGACCATTCGTGAAGGCCACGGCGAGCTTCCCAGAAGGGACTTGGGGTCTTCTCAATACTGGGGTCCTCCGCGTTTGTGGGGGGAAGGGGGCGGGTCCTTACAGGAAGGATCCGATTCCTCGTGCCTCGATTCTTGTCCCTGCGGTGCAATGCTTCTTTCCTGAAATACCTACGCCCGCCCCACTGACCGCCCTCCCCGCAGCCAACATACCTCCCCCTGCTTTGTGTGCAGGAGACGGGGAATTTTGGATTGTCACTTTCCAGGTCATAAAGGCTTAAAGCAGCTCTTGAAGGCAGGCTTTAAAGCCTTGTTACTACAGGAGTCGGGTATGCGCCCGCGTCGTGGTTCGTGCTGCTATTGGTGCAAACCGGTGGGAGGTTGACAAGCAACCCCAGTGTTGGAATGTTTTGAAATTCTGCCTTTCATTTCTTGGAAGACGAAGTTTGTCTGTCCCTGGTGCGTGATTAGACTTCTTGGAACTTATGCCTTTAAGTCATGGCCTCCAGCGTCTATAGTGGAGGAGGTGTTGAGGATGCAAAGCTTGCAAGCCAAGATGCAGGCATTGACAGGTTATGGAATAAAACATGCACTAGGTTGCACTGAGACGTCAAGTAATGTAGATCCTCCTGTTTCTGGCCGCGCAGGGAACCACATGGGGAGTTGGTGGTACTTGCGTGAACGTGGGCTGCATCCCAAAGCGACTTAGCGGCACTACCTTCAGAAGTGAACTGGCCGGAGGTCCTGAGCCACACGCAGCTGTGCCCCCCATGGCCGTGGTTCAACCAAATCCGACATGATTTGTGACTCTCTGGCAAGGAAACTTATGCACATCGCCGCAACAAAGAAGGAGGACTCAGCTGTCTCGTTTGCACGCATGCTCCACCTACGAAGGTTCAATGCGGAGGTCAAGTCAATCGAGAGGGTTATTGAATTGGCACATATATATATATATGTGTATACACACACACACACAAACCTACATACATGCAAGCATACATACATATGCATGATCCAGGGCCCGCCCGTGGCGGTCTTGCTTTGGGTTCCTTATATCCCCTCCCCTTCTTGGGAGGCAAGTAGCAGTCGGCGGTAATCCGCGCAGCCATAAGCATAGACAGCTTCAGCCCGGCGGCGCATCAGCCCGCACCCAGCACCGCAAGCGTCAGCCGGGCAACGCTTCAGCCAGTGCACAGCGACCGAGCGTCATGAGCATCAGCCGGGCAGTGCTTCAGCCAGTGCACAGAGCGACCGAGCATCATGAGCATCAGCGGGGCAGTGCTTCAGCCAGTGCACACAGCCACCGAGCATCATGAGCATCAGCCAGGCAGTGCTTCAGCCAGTGCACACAGCGACCGAGCATCATCAGCATCAGCCGGGCAGTGCTTCAGCCCGCGCACAGCGACCGAGCGTCATGAGCATCAGCCGGGCAGTGCTGCAGCCAGTGCACACAGCGACCGAGCATCATGAGCATCAGCCGGGTAGTGCTTCAGCCCGCACACACAGCGACCGAGCGTATGAGCATCAGCCAGGCAGTGCTTCAGCCAGTGCACACAGCCACCGAGCATCATGAGCATCAGCCGGGTAGTGCTCCAGCCCGCACACACAGCGACCGAGCGTCATGAGCATCAGCCAGGCAGTGCTTCAGCCAGTGCACACAGCGACCGAGCATCATGAGCATCAGCCAGGCAGTGCTTCAGCCAGTGCACACAGCGACCGAGCATCATGAGCATCAGCCGGGTAGTGCTTCAGCCCGCACACACAGCGACCGAGCGTCATGAGCATCAGCCAGGCAGTGCTTCAGCCAGTGCACACAGCGACCGAGCATCATGAGCATCAGCCGGGTAGTGCTTCAGCCCGCGCACACAGCGACCGAGCGTCATGAGCATCAGCCGGGCAGTGCTTCAGCCAGTGCACACAGCGACCGAGCATCATGAGCATCAGCGGGGCAGTGCTTCAGCCAGTGCACACAGCCACCGAGCATCATGAGCATCAGCCAGGCAGTGCTTCAGCCAGTGCACACAGCGACCGAGCATCATCAGCATCAGCCGGGCAGTGCGTCAGCCCGCGCACACAGCGACCGAGCGTCATGAGCATCAGCCGGGCAGTGCTTCAGCCAGTGCACACAGCGACCGAGCATCATGAGCATCAGCCGGGTAGTGCTTCAGCCAGTGCACACAGCGACCGAGCGTATGAGCATCAGCCGGGCAGTGCTTCAGCCAGTGCACACAGCCACCGAGCATCATGAGCATCAGCCAGGCAGTGCTTCAGCCAGTGCACACAGCGACCGAGCATCATGAGCATCAGCCGGGTAGTGCTTCAGCCCGCACACACAGCGACCGAGCGTCATGAGCATCAGCCAGGCAGTGCTTCAGCCAGTGCACACAGCGACCGAGCATCGTGAGCATCAGCCGGGTAGTGCTTCAGCCCGCACACACAGCGACCGAGCGTCATGAGCATCAGCTGGACAGTGCTTCAACCGGTGCCACGCAACCGCCAAGCATCATGAGCATCAGCTGTACAGTGCTTCAACCGGTGCCACGCAACCGCCAAGCGCCATGAGCATCAGCCGGGCAGTGCTTCAGCCAGTGCACACAACGGCCGAGCGTGCCACGCAACCGCCAAGCATTATGAGCATCAGCCGGGCAGTGCTTCAGCCGGTGCACACAGCGACCGAGCATCATGAGCATCAGCCGGGCAGTGCTTCAGCCAGTGCACACAGCGACCGAGCATCATGAGCATCAGCCGGGCAGTGCTTCAGCCAGTGCACACAACGGCCGAGCGTTCATGAGCCGGATAGTGCCTCAGCCAGTGCACGCAACGGTCAAGCATCATGAGCATCAGCCAGGCAGTGCTTCAGCCAGTGCACACAACGGACAAGCGTCGTGAGCATCAGCCGGGCAGTGCTGCTTCCAGTGCACGCAGCGATAAAGCATCATGAGCATCAGCCGGGCAGTGCTTCAGCCAGTGCACACAACGGCCAGGCATCATCAGCATCAGCCAGGCAGTGCTTCAGCCCTCGCACACAACGGCCAAGCGTCAGGAGCGTGCTTCAGCCGGTGCAGGCAACGGGCGAAGCATGATGAGCATCAGCCGGAGTGCTTCAATGGACATGACAAACGAGCAAACATCATGAGTGTCGGCTGGGCAGCGGCTGGTCAAACCATTGTTTAGGCAATAGTCGGCTGTATCCCGTCCATGTGGTTTGGAATGGGAAGGTTAAGTATTGTAAGATTTTATGAGACTTTCCAAGTTGCAAGTTGCAGACATGCCATAAAAGCCCTCCTGGAAAATAGATTGACGTTACGGCAGAGACACTCACCAAATGGATAGACAAGTTGCCGAGTCAAAGGCCGGCAGGGTTCAAATGCATTTGCAGACTCTACGTGCCAGTCTGGCCATGACAGGATATCCATGACCTGGCCAGCTATGGGTTCAGGCAGAAGTCCGATGGAGGTTCGGCACCGACAGTCATGGGGGTTCAGCTTCAGCGCAGTTCAGCGTAAGCCCGTTTGCCCCAGCAACTGTCCGACAAGTACCCCTGCCTTTGCTGGGGCCCTGAAGGTGTGGTTGACGTCACTCACGATTGGCAGGAGATGTGCAAAGGAATCCAAGGTGGGGACAGACTCCTTCTGGTCGAAGGGCTGTTGCTCGAAATCCTTCGTGGGCTGTAGCCAGGGGTTCTGAAGCTGATGCGGGTTATGTTGGGCTTGTGGTCGCGGGAGGCTACATCAAAGAGTCGCTGAACCAGGCCAGCATGCTCGAAGTTCCGACTGCACCGAGTGGAAGCGGCACCAGGGATTTCAATCCACCATTCCATGCTCAACCCGCAGATACCTCCATATTGGAGCGAAGCCCATTCTACTGTACTGAGAGAATACCGGGCCGAACCCTGCCGTCAGCAGGATCCGGACAAAGCTAAGTGCGTAGATTTCCTAAGACCAGAAAAGAATACAGCATGCTTTGATCTCAGACTCCGACGGACACTCTTTGCAGGGTATGCTGGATGGCTTCGAAGCCAATGGCATCAAGTACTACAACAAGTACGCCGCACTGAAGGAGTTGATGGGATGCTGTTGGAGTGCCGCGACGACCGGAAGCTTCATTTTTTGGGCTTCAGGGCTTCGCAGACTGCAGGTGCGAGGGTATATGATTTGCCGCCACGATAAACTCGACTGATGGCGCTGTGGATTTGGATTCGGACTAGAACTCACTGGTCTTTGTGCTGCCGCGCATGGCAGGACCGTCATACTATTCAGCTGGACGATGGTCCGTGCCTTATAGCCAGTGCTCACCAAAGCAGCGGTTCAGGGAGTGGCAGGGGCTGCTTCGGATGGAAGATGCTTGAGAAAGAAGGCTGACAGACACTGAAACTGCCTACACATAGCTGTCCAAAGCCCAAACTCTGCAGCCTGGGACCATGTCACAATGCTATTTGGTCCCTCTGCACGATGCCTAGTTCGTGCGTCGGGGTTAGGGGCCACTACCTAGGCAGGTAAAGCTTCTGCAACATGTCGGGTGATGTGCAGCTTGCGTAGGTCGTTAGATCTTGTGGCTGTGTTTGGACGCATCGTAGTTCATCCCGGACAGCCTAAGTTGATGCACGGCAAAGGCGAGCTTGGTCATTGAAGCGGTGTCGAAAGCTGCCGGAGCTAGAAGACATACAGAGGGTGGGCCCTCAAGCCCTCAAGCCACCCATTCCCTGATTCCCCAACAACAACCGCTGTTACATCATGCCTCCAGGCCAGGGAGGCATTGAGACGGTCACTGCCAACTACATCATGCTCGCGGCCGGGGGTCGGCCCAACCACGGCGGCTACCCAGGCGAGGGCTGAGGGCAGCAAAGCCTTGACAAGTTTCCCACGAAGAATGCGTTCTTCGGTTCAAGCGTACTATGCAGATTTTGAATATCTTGCTGGATACATCGTGTATTCAGATACGAACACACAAAACCGTGTGTATGTACCTGGCTGAATAAAGGTTGCCGCAGACAAGCAACCGTTTGCGTTTTCCAGGTTTAGAGGGTCCGTCGAGCCCTGTCAACGTTGGTGTGTCCATTCTCATTGGCTTCCCAGGCCTAATCCGCGCTCCAATGTTGCCACTTCCCGCCCTTGTATGGTTTCCGAGGCGTTTCCCATTGTAAGTGTGGCCCCCAAGCCTTCGCGCATCTTCACGTTGTTGAATGACGAAAGGCGTGCAGTGTTGGAGACACCGTAAAGTGGCAAGTGAAAGGGGTTCGATAGGTGTGTGTGTGTGTGTGTGTGTGTGTGTGTGTGTGTGAGTGTGTGTGTGTGTGTGTGTGTGTCAGTGAAAAGCAAGCAGGGTTGAAAGACTTGACATATAACTAGGCCCAGGCTATGATTCGCAATGGTGGTTTAAGCTTTTCTCCTGCGATTTCTTGACTCTGCGGCATTACACAGCTTTATATGCTTTCCTGCCGTTCTGCTCCTATGCTGCATCGCACTGGGCAGTTAGCGCATGTTAGTCGGCACGGTAAAACATTGCAATTGGTTTGAGGTGCCATACAAGCTGCTACAACTTGTGGCCTCTTAAGACCAAGCGCCAACCGCCTCGATGTGCAACGACAATCCATTGTTCCAGCACACATGGCTCGCTCCTGCAGTCGGGCTTTTGGTGGGTCTGCCCAAGAGAAGTTCCTCTGGACTTTAGCTTCAAGCTCAGTCCCATAAAAATTTGGATTTTATCGCACTCGTTTACAGGGCTTCCGGAAACGCGCTCAATTGTTGCCGAGTCGTTGTGACAGTAGTTCTGGTATGGTGTGTATAATACTATGGGTTTGCTTAGCACTGGTGACGTTTTGTGCTTCTGATGATGAGGGGATGCGCAAACACCGAAAAGACATGTACCATATGCAGAGCCGGAACACCACAACTACCACAAAACAAAAAATGTCGACTTGTCTACACGTCTTTGTGTCGACAAAATACCCGTGCTTCGCTTCGAGGTGTGTGAGCTGCACGTCTTGAGCTTAAGACCTGCTGATGCCTGTTAAAGATTATCTTTGCGGGTTTCCTACTGAGGAGCTAGGATACAGGGCTGGTCAATTCCCAGAAACGGCAATGCCATCACAAAGCTACAACGGCACCCCCGCAAGATCCGTCGGAGTCCGACAAGCCGAACTCAAAGCATAACCCAAAGCTCAAAGAGTGGCATCCGGCAGGAGCCGATGAGCATTGTATCTCTTCGGATGCTTCCTGGCCGTAAGCTTCTGCCTTCATCAGCGGAGAGACCGGGGGGTTTAACAAGCATCAGTTCAGAGCAGTACCTTGGATCTTGAAGACTGTTGGAATTGCGGGTCACAAGCCTGGCTCGTGATGGATGAAGACCCGCCTGGACTTGCAACTCGTAGACTTGCAAGTACACAGTGTAAGACTACAAAATCCAATGCATCTCGCTTATCTGCTAACTTGTACTATAGCTCTTAAAGCTTGGCCACGGGGGTACACAAGCTGCGTAATTCGGGATCAAGTCAAAGTTGCACGGCTCACTATGCCCGGGTGGACCCGTTTCTGGCTCGAGACTGTGTGTCAACCATCACCTCAAAGGGTGTGCGAACACATGGATGGGGAAGGCGAGATCGACTTCCCGATTCCAAGTGAGCGTGAAGCCACGCATCACATGTCCGCATGGGTGCAGGAGTTTTCCCACATCATTGAGCTGCAGATCGGTTTACTCCACCGCATAGCTGAGAGCAGCCAGAGCGAGGGCGGTCTGTGCAGAGATGAGGTCGAATCGTGTAACCTAAGCCGCTTTGATGTGCCGATCCCAAGCAAGCCGCAGCTCAGCAAGCCAGAATCGGACACGCTGGCTCTGCCAGCTTTGCCCAAAGGAAACTTGGCATTTGTGCAGAAGAACGGCAGCATGCCCTCAATGCCCATGCCCATGATGGCCGTGATCAGCGAAGAGAAGGTTGGCCTCCAGGTGTCCGATCTGGTTGACGGCTCATCCTCCGAAAATCTGCGAAACATTCGCAGGTCTCTGGATGAATCCTTTAAGAAGCCAGAGGTGCAGATATTTGTGGATGGGTTGGTGAACCCAGACTGGGTCGGCAAGCTCTCTTGGGACTTTTTCGTTATGTTCTTGGTGCTGATGGATGCTATGATCCTGCCTTTCCAGCTTACGTTCAAGGAAAATGCGAGCTCCGGAACCGACGATTTTGATGTAGCATGGCTATGGATTACAACTTTGGTTTTTGCCGTTGACATCGTCACCACATTCAACACGGCATGTGCTGCTCCGCAGCAGCCTCCGGGAACGCTTGAGACAAACAGATGCCAAATCGCAAAGCTGTACCTCCGAGGCTGGTTCGCAATTGATTTCGGGAGCACCGTCCCGTGGGCACAGATTTCTGAGGCCATGTTTACAGACGAGTCCTCGTCCTCCGTGACACGATTAACGAAAATGGTTAAGTTCATCCGGTTACTGCGCCTGATGCGGATGCTTCGCTTGGCCAAGTTGGCTGTGATTTGGGCAGCTGGGACGAGGATTAGAAGCTAGTTCAGGGTTGTTTGTTTCTTGAATACGGTATCTGCTGCCACTGATATGTATTAAGTTGTTGAAGGTTCTGATGCCAACCCAGGACAGGATTGAAGCAAAGATCGGGTCGATCTTCTTGATTCAGTGCATCTCTCTTCTGCGGGTGCTGGGCGTTGTGGTGGCAATGTGCCATTGGAGTGCCTGCCTGCCTCTGACTGAGGATTGGCAAGTGTCTTTTAGGTTTTGTCTACCATGGAAGAGGTACCAGTAGGTACTAAGTAGGTTACTGTTACCCAAGGAACCCAGGACCGTCTTGTTTGAAGGTTTTGTATTGAGACTTTCCATCTTCTATACATGTACGTGTATATATGTATATATACACCTGTAAAATACAAATAAATAAATAAATAAATATATATATATATATATGTATTAAATTTATATATGTGTATGTATATATGTATATATATATATATATACACTTGTATATAGTATCAAAAGGTATAATATTCCATACTTAGATTTATCTGTACATATATGTTAATATACACCTTGACGAAGAGGTTTTTGGTTGGTAGTGTATGCTTTCTCATTATCTTCTAGAGCCTAGCCTGGCCCCATTTTTCTTGTGTCTTAGGTTCTGGCTCGTTGGTTTACCCACGAACCTCTTCACCGAGCTGATGTCCGACGATGCGCAAGCTTCGTGCCTCGGTCTTTGAGGGGCTCCGCCGGATGGCTGTCTGGAGGACCACCCTTATGAGTACTGCCCTTCTCTCGGCTCCGCAGTGTTTTGTATGTAAAGATTGTGTACGATGCAAGCATGCAGCACGGTCTGGGAGAGTGAGGTTCAGGGTTTGGCTTGGGTTACTTTACATAGGGGGCTTTTCAAAAAGGATCCTGCTATGTGGGATTTGGGTTGGGATGAGGCTCCCTGATTTTAGGAAACGGATCCCGGATAGGAGCTCTGACCCAGGTACACGGCTGGGCCCCATTGGACAACCGTGTGGAGAAAGCATGATGTGGACTCAGAACCTTGGCGATGGTTGGATCGAAGCATGTCGGAGACCTATATCTTCTGCTTCTATTGGACGTTGCTTGGATGTTTGGAGTAACAGAAAGCAGAAACAGCCTGCAATGCCGCAGTTCCCCACACCGGGTGAAACTTTCTAATCTTTAAACCTTAAGACAGAGATCCTACCCTGTGACTTCTTCTGGAATGCCAGCTGCTACGCCAGATTGTCGAGGTTGGGTGTGATGCGAACGATGCCGGCAGAGGTGACGCCCGTGAACCTGCCGGAGCGGGTCCCCTGGCCAGGGCTTTTTGGTGTCTTGCTGTCTTTGGGCGTTTGTTGAAGGGTCGCCCGGCTTCCGGAACCACAAGTAGTCGGGGGTGCAGTAGCACCACCTGGTGTGGGGCGCCTACATTCTCCGAAGGAGGTTTCGGCCTTGCATGCCGTGACCCAAACTGGCATAGACCGGGTTTGAAATCATTGTCGGTGCTTTGAACTGAGGTCTTCGTGCTGATCTTCATGTTCTTTGCTCTGTCGGCTTTTGCTATCTGCATCTCCATGATCACGCAGGAGGGACATGGTGCAGATAGCTGGTTCGGAGTTTGGATGTTCAGCATTTAGGGTTTCTGTTTCGGGCCTGGGGTTGTTGAAAAAGGCGGCTTAGGACGTTTGTCGCGGTCGAATCGAGGGGGTCGCGAAACCGAACGTCGCCAGACGCTCAGACCACGCGCTAAACCCTAGGCCTTAGCCCACGGCCAAAAGCCTTGCCGGGAGATTCCGACGGAGGGAGTCCGAACCCGAAACTTCTGGAAGCGAGGCATTCTTCAAAATCTCCGAGCGCCGAAGGGCCTTCCATGAAGAGTTCGCGGCTGTCCGCCTCCACTTGAGGAACTCCAAAGTGAATGAACAAGTGCCCTGGCGTCATGACTTACGGCTCTCAGGGTTTAAGGGCTCCTGAATTGGATTCAAGACTGAAGGTTGGTAAGTTCTGTAGATGTGCGCAGAGTAGCCAAAACTGGTGCATGTCCATGTTTGCATTGAGTGTACGCAGATACTATTTCCAGGTGCAGGAGCGGGTGAAGACCTACTTGCCTCTCGGCTTGCAGTAGAGTCGAGGTGTTTGCGAGGGTCCTGCGGGACGGGGGCAGCGGGAAGAACAAAGCAGTGCCTGCCGTTACACATCGGAGCTATGAAGCCGAGAAAAAAGACCAAAGGATCGGCTAGGTTTCAGCACAGACCCGACCCGATGAGTTTTCTGACATCTCCGACCCTATCCAGGCAGAGATACCCTCCGCAAGTTAGTAATAGGGTTGCTGCGGTTTGTCCGGGCAAGAGGGTCAACTGTTTCGCACATCAGGGATCATCAAGGGTCACGAACTTGGACAGCGGTGTGCAATTCTCAGGTGATCGAGTGCAAGATGTAAGCATTCCACTTTTTGATTGTCTAACCAGAGCTTATTTGTGCAGATGCAGATGCTTGCAGGCAGTCGCTTGCAATGAGCAACAGCAGCAAGGCTCAGCAAGGCATTACATCCACAGTGTAAGGACACGCACATTTCTACAGAATTGTGCTCATACAGTACATAAACGATAATAGAAGCGACGTGCCACAGCCGAGCCAAGAGTTGGCGCTCAGGAAGTACCTGTTCAACCGGCGCCGGATCCAGGCAAAGGAGGCCAACTTGATGAACCAGCTCCCACAGGACATCAAGATGCAGGTGGTACAGTGCCAGGTGGAGGGGCTTTCAGGGCACAGTCGGGTTCCCGCCTTGCCGCCTTTCAGGTCCAGCCAAAGCCGACCCCTGTATAATGCCACACAGGTGATGCACCAAGTGGACAAGCTACCTTCCGTCAACCGTCTCCACTCCTCCATCCGCCGCAAGGCACTTCATGCGCCAATGAGGGCTCGGCTAGGTCTAGAGTTTGTGGGTCCTGTCCCAAGAAGGTGCGGAGGCGGCGTAGCCGGAGGACTTTCTGGTTGTACCAAGAACGAAGGGCTGATTTCCAAGCCGTGTAGGGCCCATGATGAGGATCACCCCTTTATCTCTGCGGGCAAGCAACCAAGGTTTGTGAGATCGCTCACACCTGTGACATCATGGCCTGGGAGACAGTCGTGCAGTCAGGGCAGCATGCGGAATCTGCTTGGGTCTTGGTTGCTGGGCGAGTTCAGCGAGTTGTGATTGACGAGGAGACTCGGCGCAGTGAGGACTACAATAAATACTGGTCATGGTGGTGGTACTGGCGATGGTGATAGCGAGCAAGAGCGGCGGCAGCTGCAGTAGTAGTAGTACCAACGGCAGCAGCAGCAGCACTGAAAGCCATGGAAGCAGCATCGGAGTAGTAGTCGTCATTGCCGTAGTAGAGGGCGTGGAGTGGCAGTGGTTGTTGTCGTTGCTGTATTCACGGTCAGCCAACCGCCGCCTGTGTGAGCGGTGTGAAGATGGTTTTTGGGCGAGTACAAAGGTCCGAGTCACGGTCACGCCAGCACCTGCCATTGCAAAGAAGACCCTGACTAAGCAACACGGAAAATTAGAGCAGTAGCGGTGGTGTTAGTGGGGCACAGATTGTCAACTGATAACTCGCTTCTTCGACCATCCGTAGCTGATTGCTTTCCTGATTTCGAACTAGAAATCAAGCGCCAAAACCCTCAGTTTTCACAACTCAGCCCAGGATTCGGCCGCAAGCCAGGACTATGTTTATCCCAAGGTTGTTGATGAGGAGACGCTGGAAACCGAAGAGGTCGTTGTGTCTTCCTGCACAGTCATGGCCCTCGAGACCACAGAGATGCTAAAGATTGACAAACTCCGCTTCTTTGAGATCTTGAAAGACCACCACTCAGATCCATTTCAGAAGCTTGGCCCGTTTTTGTTGGTATTTTGAAGTTCAAGTGGGAGATGCTGAGTGCCTAAAAGTCATATCCACCCTAGGCCCTGAGCCTAAACCTTGAACCAGGAAGAAAGCGATGAAGCAGTTGGCTCAGTCAGCTCGCACCAGCGTCTGCATGACCCTCAGCCACTTGGCTACTACTGGTGTAGGGCTGTTCTTATTCAGCGTTGCCATGAGGGTAGGGGGAAGTGGCGCATCAGGTGTTTCCTTTTCGGTGGGGGGGGAGTTTTGGGCACCAGTACCGGTGGAGGGCTCCTTCGACCCCGGACCGAGCCCCTGTGTGCAAGAAGGCCTCGCTACCAACTCCTTGCACACTTCGCTTCTTAGTGGCCGCTCACGAATGTTCTTATCCCTCGATGTTTGCCCGGGTGGGTCTCCGAGTGAGTCTGTTCCCAAAGGAGCACGATAAGAAGATGCCTCCGCGGCCTCTTTTTCCCGATAGGCAGTTGCTCCGTGACGACAGACGGTATTTAGTTGTTTCTTTGTTCATTTCCTCATTTATACATTTATTCATTTATACCTTTGTTTGCTCGCTTGTCTAGTTGCGTCTACCTCCACACCCACACCCTCAGAGAGAGGGACCGAGCGAGATAGAGCCAGGGCGCAGTTTTAAGTTTCGGCGTCTTCACATCTGACTTTTCTTGCTTCCCTGTTAGCACAAGATACCTGACAAGGTGAGATGGACCGATCTGAAGGTCGTGACACAAGGGTGGCTGCCGTGATCTCTGCAGCCTGAAGCAAAATGTCGTCACCCGAAAAGGGTTCTGAGGTCCTCCCGTGCAGCATGTAGTTCTCCCTCTGAGTCTCGAGCTAGCTTCAAGGCTTGAGTGCGAACTAGAGGGTTTGCGGGAATCGGTTTATCCCTGCCCATGGCATATTCCTTCTCATGCTGAACACATTGCCATGACAATTTCAATCAACACTTGGAGCTACCTAGTGCTATAGCAAGTTTCATGATGTTGGGCTGTTGTCAGCTGGGTCCCCAGGGCTGGGAGCACGACCTAAACCCTGCCCAAACTTCTTCCAATCCTGAAGTTCCTCAGGCAAAAGCTTTGCTTTCGGCTTTTTCGGCACTCGTGCCCCCCAGACCTCCGAGCCAAGAGCTGCCGGAATCGAGCGTCCTGTATTTTGATTATGACGAATGCTACTCATACGCTTACCACCCCCGCCACGACTACTCCTACTACTACTACTACTACTACTACTACTACTACTACTACTACTACCACTACCACTACCACTACCACTACCACTACTACAACTACAACTACTACTACTAGTAGTGGCAAAAAACTACTACTACTGCAAAAACTATTACTACTACTACTACTACTACTACTACTACTACTACTACTACTACTACTACTACTACTAGTGGGTGACAAAAACTACTACTACTACTACTACTACTACTACCTCCAGCATCACCACCACGACCACGGCGACGACGAGTACTACTACTACTGCTGCTGCTGCTACTACTACTGCTACTGCTACTGCTACTACTATTACCACAAATACGACTGCGACGACGACTCTACCACTACTCCTCCGGCTGCTGCTACTACTACTACTGCTACTACGACTACTGCTCCTCCTCCTCCTCCTACTACTAGGGCTACTTCCACTTCCACTACCACTACCACCACTAACACAAGCACCACTAGTACGGCTACGACTAGGACTGCGGCTGCGTATGCTACGCTTGCTACACAACGATGACAACAACTTTGATCATTATCGGCAGTACTGGTGCTCTCCGACACAATGATGAAGCGCCCTTGCGCCGTTCGGCTTCTCTTGGCTTTGCAGCTTTGACGTGAGAGCGGCTCCGAGAGCGCTGAGTTCCCGGCGAAGCATCCCGCGGTCTGACGAGTTGTCCAGAAGCACGCGAAACACCTAGCTAGGGCCGGCTAGGGCCTAGGGGCTGTTTGAGCCTTTGAGGCTTCTGGCCGAACCGGTCTTGTCGTGGAAAAGCATTGCAATTCAAAGTACTTCAAAGCCTGTAAACCTGGACAACCGCCTAGACAGCACCCATCGAAGCTTGGGTCGCTATGATTTTCCCGTCTACGGTTTCACCTCAGCGGACAAAGTCCGCAAGGTGGGCTTGTCGCGGATACGGATAGTGTTGGCCTGTGGTCCGGGACGCCTAGCGGCCTAGCGGTCCAGGCTGCACAGGGTTTCGTCTCCCCCAGCCCCGAATCGAAGCTTCCTACGGGCCTGATTCCTAGCTAAAGCCCAAAACTCAAAAACCTGAAGCCTAAGTAGGTAAGCCCCGAGCCTCAAATCATCTGCTGGGCTTGGAGTGCAGTCAACCGCTTGAAGAGTCCCAGGGCCCATAGATTCCCATTGGATCGTTCCGAAAGGATCGATGTGTACGATAGAATTGATTGAAAGAGGAGCCTCGAGGCGGGAGTTGCTAGCCCTTAGATGACCGAAATCTTGAACGATGGATATTCGTAAGCCAGCATGCGATTGGAACTCTCTCTCTCTCTCTCTCTCCCTGGGTCTCTGTCTCCGTCGGTCTTCATCTCTCGCTCGCACTGCTCTCTTTACGGGTGCCCAGTCCAGCAAAACATTGAAACCCCATTGTCCACTAAACTATGTAGATATCTCCCCCCATGCTGGAAGAGATAATGGAAAAGCTTTGCAACATCACCAAAATGCTGGGATCCATGTTCATCGGATGTGTGACACTTGGAGACAAGACTTGGGTAGTAACTGTGAAGCTACCGCAATAAGGAAACCAGATTGTCGTGGATTACGATGTGTCTCCTCACTACGGCAGTTTACATCAAGTCAACGTGGCACTTGGGGATGCAATTTAGAAAGGTGTCTATACACGGGTTATTTGGGCCCTGACACTACAACCCAGGTAGCCAGTCAGGGTGCGGTGTGCTTCGAGCAACTTCTACAGCCAGGGAGTTTGAATCCGAGTCTTTGTTTATGTTCGAGCATGCCCGAACCAATCGCAATCTTCATCCTTAGCACCATGCTTACTCATGTTTCGTGCAATAATGACAACAGTGAAAAAAGTTAGTGTAATTCTAGTGACTGCTGGCTCAGCTGAGGCCGGGGTCAAAACCAGAGCATAGCGGGAAGTACTACTCTTTTAAAACCCCCGAAGATGCGACCAAGAGCCATCGTAATAACAAGGTTCATGACCGCATTAATCACAATGACTCGCAAGATAAGAGTTTCCGCAAATAGGGGACCCCAATATACTACCCTAAATAGTAGGATCCTTAATATAATAAGGACACCAAAATAAGGTACCCCAAATTTTCGGAAACTCCCATATAGGAGTCACAGCAAACATCTTTAAGCAAAATGACACCCACGACCTTCAGAGGCCGAGGCTCCGCAGGGATAACCGCTTCGGCTGAGAACGCCGTTTCACAAAAAAAAATTGGCGGCTGCGTGGGGCCTTGGTTTAGCCATCCAGGCAGGGGGCCCAAGCCAGAGGAACCAGCATCGGGTGCGCTAAGAGCAAACCAGCGATGTAGTTTGTGTAATTCCAGGGTTCAAATTCCCAGATCGGTCGCAGTTGCTACGCTCAGCATGCTCTTAATGGTTTTTTGAATGATTTCCGGTACCTAACAGCCTAAAGGCCTTCTGTTTGGGGTTTCGAACCCTGAGAGATTGGTGCTGGTGGATTTTTGTAGCCTTGGGTGGCTGCCGGGTCCCACGCGTGGCTTTGCCACTTCCGGTCTTCAGCTCCATCTCCAAGCGATTTAGAGCTTTTAGGCCTTGTGGGTTTAGAGCGATTGGGCATCGAATCCCGTGCTGTTTGAGCAGAGGGAGTCTCAAGAAGACAAGGTCATGTAAGCGATGAGTGCTAACATGACAAAGTGACATCTGGCTGCACGAAGGGACAAACTGCAAGGAGGCCGTAGCGGCATGTTGAGGAGATGGAGTTGGATGGTCGGGTGTGGGCGGGTGCGATGGAGTCGCCCCCGACAGCTGCAAGTCGCCCCGAATGCTCAAGGACGGGATTGGGAACGACCGGCGACTTTGGGAATAAATTCCCAAGTTCGACTGCTTCCCATCCGCCCTTGACCATTGCGCATAAACCCGATTCAAAACAGCGTGTGGAAGAACGCCAAAACACAGCTGAGTCGCTGCGCGCTTCAGACCCGTAGCCCGTACCGTTCCATGGTCTTCCTTGGGCTCTTGAGCTCTCGCAAGACTGTAATATTTCGTCCTATGAATGCTACACTGCGGCTATCCCGGCCCCGGCTTCGAAGGTGAACGTTATCGTGGGTGGTGGGACACGACGTCCTACAAGTGTCACCTAGGAGCCTTCGAAGCCGAGGATTGAGGGGCTTAGCCTTAGCTTTGGAAGCTGAGGACCTCTTCTGGATCAAGGAAGCCCCCGGCAAGACCCTGGTGGTTGGGGCGGCCTACATCGCCCTGGCGGGGGGGGGGTTCAAGCGCTGGTGTTGGGGAAGCCTTCGTGGAAGCCCGAAGTCATTGCAGCACTGATTCGGACACCTTTTTGCCTCCTGAAGTCATTCTGAGGGCCCAGGTGGACCAGGATTTATGTAGAAAGATCAAAGACAGCTGGGGTGGCCTTTGTACCTCCTGGAAGATGCCGTGAAGCTGCAAGGAGTGTGCTGGCTTCTTGAATGGCCTTGGCTACGCTGGGAGCTGAGCAGCGAGTCGAGATCCTAAACCAGTAGCAACGGAAGCATTTGGGGAGAACACGCACTCCTAAAGGACTAGGACAAGTGTCAAGCAACTCGAAAGAGGGCAGTGAGAGGGATGTCTGCGCACACAGAGCAGGGGGGAAGGGATGGGACTTGCAAGTAGGAGGCCCAACTACCCAGAGAACCACGGAAACCCACACAACTTGACAACAAGGTAAGAAGGTAAAGCTCTCTCAGTGGCTCATCGATGCAACGGGTAGACGGTAGGGCTGTCTCACAACCGATTGTTGTTTGCACGGGGCTGCCATAGAGGGAAGCGGGAAGCTTACACTTCGTGATGCAAAATGTGATGCGCCATTCACCCCATGTTGCACCCGAACAATTACCCATCTGACGGTAAGGTTGCATACGGCGGGTGTTAGTGCAGGATACCACCGTCATGGTGCGTTCCATGCTGCTGCGTGGCTTCGACCGTGAGTGTGTGGACAAGATCGACCTGTACATGCAGAAGGCCGCGTGTGACTTCTGATCCACGCGATGTACTGGTAATTACTGGTACTGGAACCTCAACAGGAACGTGTTGATCGTCCTCACTTTGGGCGGTTTGGACCGTATCCGGGGTGGGGGCTTTTGCCAAGTCGTTCGGGGGAGGGCTTGAATTCCTGAGTTCCACTTTGGCGAGGTTTCCCTCCTCACCTCCACTTTCTTCGCGCGGTATTCAGTGGACTACTCCTGAGTAGCAGAACTTGTTAGACTTGTTTCCCGGCACAACTTGCCATATGAGGGTCAACAGTGCAGGCATTTCTCTTGGCCGTTCTTGGCCGATAATGGTAGTGGTCAGACACCCCATGGCTTCTTCTCATCCTGAGAATTCACCCCCTCCTGAATGCTCGAAAGGTTGGAGTGAAGTTCATCCGTGGCACCGTGCCGGAGCGGCTGAGATCATGCTTTCGGGTTGGCTTCGGCGTAGGCGGGGTAGCTACAATGTAACGGGATCTACGACCTCATACTCATAAAGAAGGCAAGGTTTTTAGAAACACCTTCAGCACTGGGCCGTTGGGAGCCAGGTTTGAGTACCGTGTACATAGACATGATTGGAAAATCCGTAAGGGGTGGCATCGAAAGATCTCCAGGTGTATTCTCACATTTCGTGCTGATCCTCCGCAAAGGGGATTTGTTTCGACAGCCTCAAGCTCGTGAGGCTGAGTGCCCCCGGCAAGTTAGGTTGTAAAGGCATACCGTGGCTGGCGCCTTGAGAGTGCCATTTTTGCACTTGCAGGACAGGTTCGAGAAGGGCACCACGAAGAAGGTTTCTTGGCTCAGGCACCGCGGGGCGATCTCTGCACATAAAGGCGGCTGAAGCCAATGAAGCCCCTTGATCTCCCGCTGCCGGTACTTTTTTCTTGGCGATCAGGCCCGGCCAAGATCCTGATGCTTCCAAGCCCAGAAACGACCTAAGACCTGTCCGCTGAGGTGAAAGCGATTTGGAAGAAGGGAGACCAGGACGAAGATCGTGGGAAAAGGGCCAAGGGATCTGTGTGTGTTTGGCTTGGGGCTTGAGCCCCGATCATGCAAAAGTGGGGAATGAGCACTGGGTTGAAGTCCGGCAATCCGGGATTGAACACAACACCTGGAAGGTTTCATCATTTTCTGCTTGCTGACCCCAGGCAGTCCAAGATGGACTGCGTTGCATGCCCCATTGGCACTTTTTCTCGCGACAAAACCTCTGTACCCACGGATTCCGTTCCCGAGGCTTCGTGTGAGCTTCTGAATAATTTAGGGATCTGAATACAAACCCTGAGAATTCAAGAACCCTCATTGTAAGAACACCCAGGACCCAGAACATGAAGAGGGCCCTACTAATGTTTACTTTATATATATATGTATATGGATATATATCTCTTTATTTATTATATATATATATACATACATATGTGAAGCCGAATGGCAGGAATGAATGCCGTACAAATACCCACCACGTCAAGAAGCCCGATTACGAAAGCCCTCCAATACCGTGCCCTGTTATAACACACCTCGTGAAGAGCAGGAGTTTAGCGATGAGTTCGACACTGTCCTCCTGGCCATTGGCCGCACCGGTGAGGTTGCCAGTATCAAAAGACAGGGTTTAGTAGGCCTTCTTTTCGGATGTAGCATTCAGGATACGGCTTCCTCTGGTGCCTCCGAAATAATCGGAACCGTTCCGGTGGCACTGCTGGCAAAGAGGGTTGTCGGTTGGGCTTTCTTTGAAGGATTGCAGGGACAAGTGGAGGCACCTCGATGGTGCCTTCAGGTTGCATGACATCGTGTGAGTCGTACTTTTCCTTTGGTATCGGCTGAGCTCTCCGGAACCGACATATTGATTCCAGGGCTGCATGGCGAAAATGGATACTCAATGGAGACGACAAGTCGATGGGCCTGGTGGTGATGATAGTCCCGACGACGATGACTGCAACGACCAGGGTGGCGATGGTCGTTGTGATGACATCGATGGTGTTTCTGATTCTCCTGATGACGGCGGTGGTGATGGTGGCGACGATGATTTCGGTGGTCTTGCGTTTGGGAAGTGGTGGTGAGCATGATGGTGATGATGATGATGATGGTAGTTATACGTGGATGATTCATTATTATCCCGACAAAGCGATTGTGGCTGCCTCCACGACTGTGCGATCATCATACCTTTCTCAATCGTCATCACCATCACCATCGTCATCTTGCTGTTCCTTATCACCATCATCATCATCATCATCAGATCGTCATGTGCTTCTTTGGTTTGAGCTGCATCAACCTGAAGGAGGGCTGGGGGGGGGGGCGGACAGTGTTGGCCTTGTGTCGGCCGGCTACCTAACATCTTCACTCTTGCTGCCTTCACCCAGGGGGCGAAGCTGGGCCTTGAGAATGCTGGCGTGGCTCTGCTTCGTAGCACAGAAAGTGTTTGCTTTCTTGCACTTGCCACTAAGGCACTAAGGGTGCAACAAAACAGCTTGCAGAACTATGTTGCGGCGTACGATGTTCGCATCTGTTTGCCTTGTCGGGTCTGGGGACTCGAGGTCTCGAGGTGTTAGGATTTTAGGGTTCAGGCTGTCTGAGAAGAATCGGCAGAACCAGAAGAGTTCACTTTGACGGATCAGTGCCTAGGAATGCGTGTTTGCATGCCTCCCGTCCTTTGCAGTCACACAACACACTCCATGGTGTTTGTAGATGTGTGTTCTTGCCTATGCATAGACATGTTTGCTTTTCTGTGGTTGTGCAAGCCGAAGTTCTTGCATGCTCATAGGTCGATAGTTTAGAGAAGCGCCAGCGGACATACACCCAGACATCAGACACGGACAGGGACACAGCTTGGGTTTCGAACATCCCACGGGTGGTCGCTTGAGGTGTCCTACAGCCCGAAGACCGGCAAGGTTGCGGCCCCTGCGGAGGCGACCAATGAGCCTCGGCCGGACAGGACAACAGGAAACTTCTCTGTGCGTTTGTGTCTGTGTGTGTGTGTTTGCTTCACAGGAGGGGGGGGGGTTCATCCCTCGGAGGAGGCGGCGGCTCAGATGTCGGGACGTCGTGGGTTCAGGCCGCTGATTATTTCAGCCTTGGAATGAGGTGCCCAACATCTACTGCATCGGCGATCTCGTCGAGAACAGGACTCACGCAGCGGGCGGACCAAAACGTTCAGCTGAAGAAGCATGGTCTGGTGTTGAAGGGCTTTGCCAGTTGCTATCATTAGCCGGCTTACTATACCTTGCTTCGGGCTTTCAACCATTTGGCTTCTGCGTTCAATTCGTCTCGTGTCCACTTCGTTGCAACCTTCGCAACCCGGTCTGCTTCCAGTGGGAAAGCAGGTGGGCTTGGCCATGGGAAGACGGCTTGTGTGGGCTTTTCAGTTAATACGGGCCGCCAATATAGACTCTGGGGATAAGAGGATCCTTCATGCAAGGACCTGCGCGTCCCGGAAATTGTGGGCCTAGATAGGGTACGCTTGGTAGCAGGACGAATGCAGTTCCGGCACAGGCCAGAGCTGACCCCCGTGGCCAAGGTAGCCGGAAAGAAGGCGAGCCTCGGAAGCGGAACTGCCTTGAACTAAAGTTAGGGCCCTACAGGTTGGGGGTTCGAAGATTTCGGGCTGCTGCATTGAAAGGTTTCATGCCCTTTGTGTCATGTCCCTCTGGTGCTGCAAAAGCATGTGCCGCCTTGCGGGGGTATCTCGGAGCTGTACGGCCCGCGGCATTTTCAAGTCCTTTAGGAGCTGAAGCTTGGAAAAAGCGTTTCAAACTGGCCTGTCAATCATGGGCTTCTGAGGTTTCGGTTGTACCGTTTGAGCAGACGGCCCTTTAGTTATGATGTCTGCTTTGTGAAATAAGGCAACTTTGCTTAAGAAGTAGAGTTCAAAGCAAAGCAGACTCAGAATGCATCTGTGCACTAGTGTTCCTGGGCGTGTGCAGAAGTGCATTCCGCAGCGCTCAAGCCCGAAAGCCGGCGCACATAGTTATGGGTGCAGGGATCCGAAGCAGAAGCACCATGCATTCTGAGTCTGCTTTGCTTTCAATTTGAGCTTGACAAGTCGGCAAACCGTGAGCCCTAAATTTCCCATGCCTCGCCTGGATTGTCCGAGTGTGCCCGCCGAAGTTTCCTCACCCCAAGCCCTACATCCAACTCGGCAGAGCACGGATGAAGTGGATAGGCTCCGCCCTTTGTTTCTGCGCGGAGGTTGTGCACCGACTCTTCCAGGGCGACCAGGAGGCCAAAGCCCCGCTCCAATTCCCCATTTTGTTTGGGGCTTTTTGACTATGGGATCCTACCAATTGCCCCCCGCGAAGTCCGCTAAGTATCTCCAGGCTATGAACTACCGCCTGATCGCGACGACGGACCTTCGGTTGCAATAGCTTGAACTCCGAGCGACTCCAGGTTGAGGCTCTTCCTGAAGACTTCACGGCTTAGTGAGCTACACTGCGCACATCTCAAGTCAGTCCGAGGGGCCCGGCCCGCTGTGTCTGCCGTCTCTGTGAGTTTAAGTTGCGTGAACTTCGGATGCCTGCGGAGTTTTTCGGGCGGGTTCTACACCGGCTGTCCCAGAGCCTTGGGAGGTCGTCTAAGAGACAGGGTAGCAGACCTGAGAAACCAGCCGAGCACCGGGCATCCAGAAGGCAAGACCGGGCATCCCCAGCGGGCATCCTTTGCATCGTTTTCAGGTCTTCACGCCTCTGGAATATGGCATGTGTGGCCTCAACGAGGAGCAGTGCAAGGAGAAGTGCCCTCAACAAAGGGCACAGGCGGCACAGGTCCAGACGTCTCAGCGAACTCATGTCACCCATGCCGGCGAAGGCCCGAAGCCACGTCAGGCCCCAGGACGGTTCGACTCCAGACCTCGCGGATCTCCAGGTACGGGGACGACGGCTACACCTCCTACACGAAGGAGCGGAAAGGCTCTGCCCCAGGCTTTCTGCGGGGCCTAGGGCCTAGGCCGAGGTGTGGGGCTAGGAGTGTGCTTTGCTCAGGCTCGACCGGAACGCCTCTCGTCTGGGACTTTACAACGTAATTATCAGCAAGAGTGGGCCGCACACAGTTCACGCTAAGTGCAGACGGCTTCCACAGCATCAATCCGAAGCAAGCTCCACAGCCGTAAATTGTGCAAAGTGCGTTGAAAGTCGTCCCCTTCGAAACCAACGGACCCATGGCAGACAATGCTAAGAACACCACTTAGCCCGGCTCAGCTCGAGAGTACCCGTTCTTGGGTTCCTCCCGTAAGGTTGCGCATATGTAACGCCCCAGCAATCCTGCCAACTTCAGCAGGAGGCTAAACCCCTCGAGTGGTCAGTGGTGAAGCACCGCAGCCCCGAGCTTCGGAGAGGATTTGAGGCAAAATCGGATGGCGAAGGGTGAAAATGCTGAAGGTTTCAAGATTCGGTGCAACTTCCCTGGCTTTGCTTGCGGTTCTGGAGATTTCTGGAGCTTCTGGGCGCTTTGATGGTTGCTTCATCAGCTTGTTGGAAGTGAGTGGTGTACATGCCGGAGAAGAGCTGGGTCGGCAAAGGGGGTGGCATGGTGAGAGGAAGCCATCTCCCTGTCGTATGTTCGCCAACCGCCCACTGTCGGAGGTGTAGCCCACTGGTTCGGTTTCACAGCGTCGTATATTCTGAGGTAGGTTGCCTGACTGCAGAACACCAATAAGTTTTCACTGGCCCGTATTTAGGGCTTGGGGACCCCTTGGCTCCTGATTCTTTAGACTGGGAGTGGAACCTCCGAGGATGCTTTCTTCAAGGTCCTGGTGGACAACAAGAGCAGCTGGGCAAGTTTAAGCAAAGCGCAGGGCAAGCCTCTGCAAATCCGAGGATTCATCCAAGACCCTGCATTCGTCATCTACACGTAGGTACTGGGACACTCCAGCACCATGATCCCATACGGCCAGTACGAGAATATCATGCAGTCAACACCTGAGCCGATACAGTGCTCCGACTAGCCACATCATGATCCTTTTCTTGCGTTTCCTGATCCGTTTCTCCCGACCTGATCCTCATATCGTTCTGATCCAATTCTGTGAGCTCATACGTCCTCCAGCCACAATTTGAGCTCGCGCCAAAACGATCAAGGCACGCGCGTCGTGGGTTTCCACGTCCTGGGCCCGAACGCAGGCGGTGTCTGCAGCTGATATGTTTCGTCATCATATCCAGATGCGCCACCACCACCCTTGCCTTATCATGTCCAGCATCAGGACCAAACGCAGAGAGGCCCCCACCATAGTTCCGACCCCAAACAGTTAAGATTTCTGACCACAGGCGAAATCACCCAGGCAGTGGGACTCGCCATGAAGGTCGGCGTGACGAAGGCACTTCAGGATGATAGTCAGGGGCAGCTTTGCTTGTAAATTCTTGACGGGGATTCGCCTTGCTTCGGTGCGTAATGTGGAGGACCGACAACTCAATTCTAAGGCAGTCTCGTGAGCCCAATTCCATGATGCCCCAAGCACAATGAAAAGAACTCGGCAATGTTAAAGAAACACAAAAAGCAGAAAGTATTGAACCCGTATATAATTCCTAAGGGCTCTGGATTGGTATCTCCAGCACCCGCATCCCTGAGCCCGTCAGAACCAACTGGACGACTGCGTGGGGATCCACCCCACACTCGCCGAGACCATGACCATGCTCGGACCCAAACGGGATTTACATTTGCCTTAAACTGGGATCTTCTTTGGGCTCGGGAGGGTACACAAGAGGTTTGGGGCACTTGCAGCAAATGCGGGCGCGAGCCTTAGGCTCTCTGGACAGAAGATCGAAGGCGTCGTGCAGCCTGGCCTGGAAGCACGAGATCCGGAGCTTGGGTATGGGAGTTCACACTCCTTCCGAGATATGCTCACCCGGCTTGCGTAGGATACAAACATGGGGTGCGTTGTGGTGGAACATTGCACTGCGCAATGCCACATGTAGGCAAGCCACAAGTGTGAATGGCCAAGCCTTCATATTGCAATAGACAGCTTGTAGCAAACATCCCGCCGTCCGTGACTGTAAGACTCGAGCGGGACATGAGCATGCTGCCATCACCATGACCTTTCCACAACAACCTAAGTCTCAACATGCTGGATTCGTCAAGACTTGCGGCGCTGTGATGTTTGTCACCTTTCCGAGTTCTTGCACCGCTTCGTATGTTTGTGTAGTCTAGTATGTGCTGATGCAAGTTTCCGGTTGCCTTGGCTAGTGGGGTGGGTAACAGGTGTCGCTAGACGTTCCAAGCCTGATCGCATGTTCTTCTCACAGCAGAGGTGCGAATCCTGAGTTGCGTAAAGGGCCGCTGCCCTGGGTGGGAGGCGTGGAGACCAACCGGGCTTGACTCGCTCGTGTCGGAAGGAGGACATAAACCCGCTGTGAAATGTATCCCTTGAAGTCTTCAAGGAAGCCGCACGGTAAGCCCTAAGCCCTTAGCCCTATTGATGGATCCCTAAGTGGGAGACCAAAGCGCCAATGGATTCCCTCAGCTTCTTCGGGCGGGGAAGCACTTGGGTTCGCTTGAAGAAAGGTTTGTGTTTGGGCCAAGTCGATGTTAAGCCTGAGACCCTCAGAGGCCTTTGAAGTTTCAACCGAAGCCAAAGGGGAACCCAAATCATGGCAAGCTGCCGTCAGCAATCCTAAGGGTTTCATGAGGGTTCTACATAGCTTCGATCTCGCTCTCCGAGCCTTGTCTTCTTGAGGTTGTCACACCACCTGGAGTGTTGCATTTACTTCACGTCTTGCCTTTTTCCGGGCTCGTCCTGAAGAGGTTGTTCGACCCCTGAGAGCTACAATGCGTCACAGGTAGCTACCTCCCAGCCGGTTGCGTCCCGCGACATTTTTCGCATCTCGGCTGCTTTCCCGAAGCATTTCAGCTCTTTTGTGAAGGCAGTTCCAGACCTCTGCAAGAAGGGCCAAAGGAAACCTGATTGAAGCAGTGCAGCAAATCGGCCAGACTCCATTCCCTGCCTCTCTTCGACGATGGGTGTTGTTTGCCACTCCAGGCCGCGTTTTTGTTTGCTGTTCCGCATTTCTTTTAGGGCTCACTGTAGAGCCTGCCATCCCCAGGGTCCTTTTGCCGTTCCTTTTCAAGATGCTCGGGTTAGAGGCAGCCACAGTCAGTGCTGCTAGATTGTTTCCTCCTGTGACATTTTGATGGCGTCCGAGCTTTGAGAGATTTACCCCTGCCAACGCGAGTAGTCCGTATACTTAAGTCCTCGAAGGCAAATCCTGATTCTTCTCAGCCAGCAGACGGCAAAGTGATGTGCTGTCCTTGCCCGCCACGGGAAGGCTTGGGCGGGAGTCCGGGAGTTTTGGCTTCTCTAGCAGTCACGGTTCCAGTCAGGTGCTCGTGTTTTCAGGTACCGGGCACTAATGAGCGACGCAGGTGTCAGGTGCAATAGTACCGAGATCCTGAACCCAGCAATGTTTATTCGATTTTGCAGGGGCAAGAGTTCTGTATCTTGTTTCTCCTGGGTAGACTTGGCACCGTTTCAGCAAAGGCCCGTGGGATTTTCGCTTCTTTGCGCAGTATCTTTCCTTGAATCCTGCATGTGTTCTGTTCGTAAACTCAATCAATGCCAGTGGGATCTCAGTCGCTTCCTCTCTGTGAGTGTTAAACACATGAACGTAAAGTGTTTATGTCTAATCTCTCACGTCACCCTGCAGCATTCCCTCCTGCATGTTTGGTGGAGGTACCCAGCACGGAGTAGCCGCCATGCAGCTTTGAGTCACTTGCTGTGCTCACCTGGCGCTTCTTCGCAAAGTTGCTTGCGGTTCGCAGACATTGCTGGAAAGCGCGCAGACGGCACAGTGCCAAGCTTTGAACTGTGGGCAGGTCTTATCACAACACTGGCATCTGAGCATAGTATCGCCACAGGTAGAACTTGCAAACACTTGCCCAGCCTTCTTCGTGTAATCAGCCTTACAGTAAAGTGCCGATGAATGCTGATACTGTTCATCGAAGCTCATTCTTGACGGGGCCCGGGTCCATTGAAGATGGAGCCCTGATTCCCGAGCTATTTTCCTGATTTTCACGCTGCGACGATGTCGGAAGTATGCTGGCCAAAGAACTAACATTTTGTAGAGCAGTCGGTTGTTCAAGCCCCGGTCAGGGAGGTTGAGGCCTACGTCCGAAGAAAGCATGCATCTTCCAATGTGACGTCTGACCCACGCAAGCGTGCGATGTGTGAGACCGTTTTGTGCTCCAGTTCAAGAGGCAGTGTTATCATGCACACCAGGTGCAGGTACGCAAGCCTTGAACGTTTGATTGGGCCCATTGCTTCCGCTGGCAGGGCGTTTCAGCCCAGTGAATCAAGTTCCTCAAGGCATCTTCTTGTTGCAGCCCAGTGCAAGTTCTGAGGCGACTGTGCCTCAAGTAATGTGGGACAAAGTATCTATATTGCTGCTTCTACCGTGCTGCAGTAGTTCGTCTCGTCAGTTTTCATCCTGGCCCAATCACTTACTTCCATGTAGTTCGTGTCTTGTAGGTGTTAGCTAGTTAAACTTGACTGTTGTATGACCTAATTACAGCCGTATTCAGATCTGAGTTGGGTAGTTCCCACCGCATCTGCAGACAGGGGTGCTTCAGAACATGCACAGCAGCCAATTTACACGTGCAGTGTCGGCATTGGCTGTGCCGCAATGCTGCTGCAGCAGCGGGGCCGTAAGCCGTAAGGAGAAGAAGCGACTGCCTGATCCAGACGGCCACTGGTACTGGCTGCTTGTTACTGCTTACCTCCTCCTGCTGCTGCTGCCGTTGCCGCTGCCATCACCTCCACGACGACACGAACATTCCTAGTCGAGTTTCTACTGCTGACATTGATGGTGCTGCTCAGACAACTTGCCATTGCCACACTACAACAACCGGTCCTGTGCCGCTCAGGCCACTGTTGCTGGCACCCTGGGTTTGACATCAAGGCGAAATGAATCTTGGGATGACAACGTGCGTGATCGGATTATTCCCACAGCTCTTCCTTGCCTTCGCATGCTGAATGATTAGCCGGTTTGGAGCATACCATGACCCGGGCCTACCTCTCAAAGCCTGCTTCTGCAGCATGCACCGTGTTTCTGGCTCTGCCAGAGAACTCCCTCGATATGATCAGTGCAGGCGACGAATTTCCGACAACAAGACACAGAATTGCCTGAGGATAGCTTTGCGCAGTAGCAAGACATATGCGCTACCAACGGGGCCGAAACTTAGGAATTTTTTCATTTCTGAAATCGCAGCCAGCCAGAGTATTCATTAACCTCACGGAAGCAGCAGTGCTATTGAGTTTCAGGGTGTAGCGTTCTGCTCAACACAGCGGAACTTCGATCTCGGGATTCGATTATGAGCCGCTACCCGAAATGGGAAATTGCGCCTGCTCTGCCGAAAGCCTCACGAGCTAGGGACCACGGATGCCTCGTGCTGGAACCCCACTTTCAAGACAAAGGTCTGAAGTCGGAAAACATCCCTGGACCGGAAGGCAGACTCCATTCGCCCGACTGGCTAAGGCTAAGACATGGTTGCGAAGAACCTGAGGTTTTGGGAGACAGCAAACTAAATAATCGAAGAGCGAAACCATTGTGAAGCTTGCAGTTGCGTTTGCGCTTCAGTTCCCCCACCTTCGATCACCAAACTGACTCTCCGTAGCAATTCCGAGATACTGGCGTGACCGGGGTTCTGGAAGTTGAGGATGAGTGGATTTGGCTGCCGAGATGGCATGCCAAGCGAGAAAAATGCGGCAGACACTTTCGGGCTTAGACGACATAGGATCTTGAAGAGTGAGGAAGCGGTTGCAAGGTCATGATTCTGAGTGTGGACTTCTGCAGTTGTTAGTCTGTGAGTGTCATCCAACTTGGAGTTTACAAAAAGCAGCACTGGAGATCTGATCGTCGGCACAAAGGTCAGAGCCGTCACAGCCCACGTCGCCAAATCCAGAGCAGTGGAGTTTGTCCAGCGCTCGGCGTTGTGAGCAGCGACCGTCGCAAATGCAAGAGAACCAGAATCAGAATTGCAGTGTTCATCATACTGTGATTGTAACTGCACCTCGAGCATAGAATCAACCGGGTTTAGTTTAGCGCGGTAGATGCTTTTGTTTGGGATCGACACGGAGTGCATTCTTGGAACGAATGCCTTGTAGTCTGGCACCAAGATGATGCCAAGATGCATTATATACCCGTATAATTAGGTTGAGATGGGTGAGATCTGCTTCGTAATGAAACTGCCCAAATAAGAGTAGCTGGCCTTGATGATTTATCCTTTGTTTTCGCATTTATGGGAAACACTAGTTGCATGAGGTCGAAGTAACAATTCGAACGGGCTGGAGCCGAACTTGCATGGCAAACCTTGGGACTGCAAAATCGAAGATGTCCACCCGAACAGCTCGGACGGGACTAAGGGTTCAGGGCTACCACGGTGATCACACCAAGGCCGACGGTGAAAGAAGTAGATCCACTCAGCTTGTGCGGAGCTCGGCATCGCGAGAAAGCCAGAGGTTCTGATGTTGCCTCAGTTAACGGTGCAAGTTTTTGAGCATCCTTGGTTTTGTTTACGCACCTGGCTTGGCAGCTTGGAGTTTTGAGAGTCATGTCAGACCGTGAGCAAAGGTCTGCAGCTAGAAACCAAGTGATTCAGGTTCTGCTACTCGGCCTCCCAGGAAACCTACAACCCTAAGGGCTCAATCCCCGAGAAGCTCGCAAAAAAAAGCAACCACAGGCCGTGCCTGGAACAAATCCTTGCACTGTGACCTGGCGAGCCGGGCCGGGACGGAACAAAACAGTTTGTTTCAAACTGAAAACCCTCTCAACAGAGCCTGGGACCACGAAGGATCCGTCCTATTGAGGTCCATGGGGTCTTCGGGCGGACTCATCGCTTGGAGCAAGGGCTTGCAGACCACTCAGTTTCTTGAGCTTTGGGAGGCGCTTAGAGCTCCGTGCAGACAGTCTTCTGCGGCTTGTTGTTTTTGGTTTTCCCCGTGAGTCAAGGGCTTTGGGTGTTTGTGGGATTTGGCGCTTTGGGATTTTACTCGGATAGTCGTCCTGTCGTCAGGACTATCTTCATGGACTTGCGCCCCATGGGGCTTCGAGCAGACAGACGGGTAAACGTCATTGAATCCTGTGGCCTACGTAAGTACTGTAGTCGAGAACAAACTCCCCTCGTGAAGATGCCTCAAGCTAGGAGATTCGGAAGTGGCATGGAGCGCCAGCCAAGGAAACTCGATCTCCCTTGGTGGACATGTTAGGCTGAAGTCCAACCAGTCATCGGGCATATTATTATATGACAAGGCCCCATGCTGAGCATGTTC